ATCACTGGGAGATTAGGTGAGAACTCCTGGATCCTAGCACCTGAAATTATGTGCTACTTCCTAGGTCCTGGCCAAAGTCCACCATAAGAGAAGTGTGTAATTTATTTCACTTTTACAAATATTATCTGATTAAGATACCATTTTTTCACTTGTCCACTTTTTTGACATAAAAAACAGGTATCAGCTCACTTTATCTGATGAAAGCTTATTATTTCAGATTAAGATGAATTGGGTTGAAACCAAAGTAGATGCATTGGGATGAATAGGGCTTAGACTAACATTCAATACAAACCAAAAAGTATATATTTTAACATGGTTATATTAAATTACAATGTAAACCAGAGAACAATGTTTTGGCATTTTGAGGACTAACAGATTTATTACAACAAAAACTTTTGAGAGTATACTCCCAACAGATCTATATGATGTAGTGACTCTGAGCCGTGAAAACTTGTACAGTAATAAATCCATTTGTCTTTAAGCTACCACAAGACTCTTTTTTTTTTGGGGGGGGGGTTCTACCACAGACTAATGTGGCCACCCCATTTTGATATTACTTTTCATTCATAACTGAAATGTGACTTTTTCACTCATAAAAATACACACAGCAAAACAACTTAGTTCAATTTATGACAATCATAGTGGAGACAACTACAACTATTCTGACGTTTTATATGCTCACACCACTGTACAGTTTGTACTTGACCAGCAGTAGTTTAGTACCATGCCCTGTGGGCTGCTTAAAATAGATAGTGTGAATGATTTGGAAGGAGAGTGCAAGTACATTTGCATTTCTGGGCAGAAACATTTTGATAGAATATTGGTCAGAAGAACCCACCAGTAGACAATACCCACAACCTATCTGCTTATTTAAAGACAGCAAAAGAGCTTAAAGAAAAAAGAAAAATAAGGAAGCATTATCAGATACAAAGGAGAACAAGCCCCTTTCAGAATTAATAGTCGTACAGAAAACTGAATTTCAGTGGCAAGAGATGTTGAACTTATTTAAATCCCCTCTTTTATACTACTGTTACTGGTATAAGACACATTCTTTCAAAAGCATACATATGTCCTTAATGCAAGGGATTACCAAATAGCCACTGTTTCCTTTTAAGTGTAGAGACAAAGTTGAAAAAAACAGAATCAGTTTCAAAAGTCCATAAATGTGCTCACCAGTAGTGGCCACAAGTCTCATTCTCATGAGGACACACCTTCTGTGTTCTTGCTGTATCACAAGAAGAGTTTATCGTTTCATGCTGGACAGGACTCTGCTCCTCACCCAAGTTCTCTGGCACAGGCACAGGCACAGGCACAAGCAGCCAGAGATTCTCGCTGCTTTCTTGTATCGCTAAGGCCCAGTGTGAAGAGGCCTCATAAGGGGGATAGAACAGATCAGTAGGTGCTCATAAACCATGGCTGGCTACCAAGGCTGAGCAATATGCTAGGATACGCCACTGGTTTACTCACCAGTGAAGAAATAATTAATTGGAAGTCTATTCAATTAGTTTCTGAGAATTAAATCAAATGTAATCCAATAAAGCAAATGTCTCTGAGACTAAAAGGAATGCTCAAGATCCATCTTACTTTTCTGTTAAGGTTATAATCCTATGCTCACTTTCTTAGGTGTAATCCTATTGATCTCAGTAGGATTTCCCAAGAAATCAAGTATAGGACTGTTCATGTGTTAACTGACATGTCTAAATTCTTCAAAGTCTGAAGCCAAGCATCTCCATGAAGAAATAAACCTAACTGATAAGAGAAAAGAAAGACTACATCCCAATATAAAAGAAAATTTCCACTTATTTGGAAGTAATCTCTCCCCTAGTATTACTAGCCATGCCTCAAGATATGTCAGTTACTATAACTAAATATTTTTAAAAGCCTTAGTACTGTACATTGAACCATTCAAACAATATGCTGCCTACACTTTCCAAATTATGCCACATATTTTGCTGTTTATTCCACATGACTTCATTTAATGACTTCATAAGCATTCAATAAAAATAAAATGGAATATTTCAAAGCATGTGCCAAAATGTTTAGATTGCAGATTCTTAAGTAATATTTGCAGTTATACAAATGTTAGTTTTCCCCACAAAAAAAGCTGTCTCAAAGAATATTGTAAATAATTCTTTATACCAGGGAACAGGCCTAACATTCAATATCAGATATCACCTGCACAGCACATAACCAATTCAAGAAAAAAGAACTGTACTTACATTTCCCTGATTATCTGAATTCAGCTTAAATAAACAAAAAATAGCTAGCCCCATTGAAAGATATGCACAGCCCACAAATATTGTTCAGCCTAGGATATGTAAAGATAACGACGTGGGTGGTGTATGCTTGGTGTACAAGATACTGCGGAAAGCTGGACAGGTAACTTTCATATCAACCCCATCCCCACAACCACAAATTCACCTGGTTGGTGTGATGTATGTGCATTTTAAGTTAAGCAGAAGCTTCTTAGAATTAACTTGCACACCCATATTTTCACAAGCAATTACTTAATGTTGTCTATTTTTTACCTTAGGCAGATATTTAACAAAAGCACCTACCATTTTAACTTCAGTGAGTGCAAAAAGTACTCTCTAGGACCTCTCTCCCAGGATTTGTTTTAGGCAATGAACCCATCATAGTATATTGTAATGTCTAGATCTGATAGAGAACTCATTTGGGCACCAGAGAGCTAATTTTAAAAGAAGAGGTTGTCACTGTGATGCATAAATGAAGCATCTCTGGCTGGGATCTTACAGTGCCTTTCTCACACTACTGAGTAATCACAACCAACCCACACACATCTGGAATTAGGACTAAAGAACTTCCAAGGCCAAGGGTGTGACTTCCAGGCAGGCTGAAAGCCACAGCACCTCAATTGTTTCAAGGAACTATTACTACTATTTTGTATAAATTTGCATTGTTACCTTAAAACCAGATTATACAGGAAAACCCTGAACACATTGTTTTACTCTGCTAATTACTGCTAGTGAAACCCTGTCATTGCTTTAGCACCCCAAAAGGCGTATGCAAAACAATGAGCCAGTCTGCATGATTGCTGCAGCCCACTGTGGCTTATTTAAACCACAGTAGGCATCATGTGATGTATGCCAGCCACCTATTTGAATACTCAAGACATGGTGGCCATCATGCTATGCAACCTCCAGAAGAGCCAGAAATCATGTGGGGTACATAGGAGACAGTGTGCCCACTCATGCACAGCAAGCCATTGGTTTTTAAATGGATGGGTCTTCATTACATGCACACAGGGCTGGCAATGGCCCTCCAGGATTCCAGGCAAAACTTTTTCCAGCTCTAAAGGAGATTCTAGAAGCTGAGCCCAGGACCTTCTGCATGCCAAATATGTGCTCTGCTACACCCCTTCCAGGCACTCAGCAAGCTGTACTTCTGAGTAGACATATACCCAGTGGTGCTTTGAGAGGACAAAACCACCACTTTGTATTCGGATGGGGTATTTCAGAATAAGTTTTCCTAGCAGTAACATGACTCATAATTCTACCTGTAGCACTGCAAAAAACAAAAAAGTATACTATTGCCAAGAAATGATTGCTTGTATACTTCCTGTGGATACCCTTTTATAATACATGTTATATGACAGCCTCTTATCTACTGACAAAAACACTTCAGAATTTTCATCATCAGCAGGCATTCAAATCCTCCAGCATCAGAAATTGTGATATTTAAATAAGTCTCCCTCTCTCATGATCATGTTACCATCCTGAGCCTGACCACACTATCCAGTACACCTAAGTTTTAGCTCTTTTGAGTATTACCAGTTGCATTTTTTCCCAGAAGAGGTTCACTACTTTTCTTCATTTCATTTATAATCCTTCAAGTAGAGTGGTTCTTCACCTTTCCCAGCACCAAGAGACAGATGCTTTTTCACTTCTGTGTGCACACTGTCTCATCTCAGGGACAAAATATCCCAGCTTCAGTTGGATATCACAACTCTGTTCTATTTGTCCACAAAGATTTACAAAGCCACACAAGTTCAATACTTAAGATTCAGAAGCCCTTTCCCCACTTCATGTTGCACCGCCAAAAAATAAAAAATGACAGGAGCAGAGTAGTTAAAGAGAAAATCTCCAAAACCCCAAGGCCTTCCCTCCACCAGAAAACTGCTTGTTTAATGTCCTTCATATTAGGAGATAATACCCACATACACTGATACTAAGAGATATGAAGGAACTAAGAATATTGAGGAGGAAAAGCAATCAGGCTAAACAACTCCTGCAGCAGTATTGTATAGCATGTTATCAACTATTGGGGGAAACCAGAATACTGCCCAATTCGTAAAACCTGTTTTCCCCCAAGTAAATGCACTGAGGAGTTGAGTGTTAAACTCCTCGGCATGTTTCCCCATGTCTCATTTATTCATCTTCCCCAAAACATCCTTTTTTGTGCTCACTATTTTGTTTTATTGCCACCTTGCTTCAAAAGTGAAGGTCCTGCTTCTACCAATTAACCTGTAGGCTGGAAAATTATTTTAGGGTATTCCAACGATCAAAGGGCTTTCAGAACAGTAACCTGAACACAGCGGTGCAATTCTGATCACACTAGGCTAAAAAATCCTAAAAGCACTTCCACTAGGAAGTTACGTTCCAATGAACTCAGTGGGACTTCACTTCCAAGTAAACATGATTAGGTGCACGGCTGCCAAGACCTTCCCAACGTCTCTTCCTCCCGCGTCCCGATTTTTGCTCACCCTCTTTTCCTTGTCTTTACAGGACTTAAGCAGATCCTCACGTGCAGCTCACTTCGGCACCTCTCATTAGTCACCCCACAGACATCCTGTCACCTCCCTTTCCCTCGAAGACTGCCTCAGTCTTCTGCCCCACCAGCCTCTGCCTTCACACGACGCCTGCCCCTCGGTTTCTACTTCACGTTTCCCGACCCCTTGGCGTGTGCGCCCCCCAAGCTCGCAGCCCGCCCCCCACGCCCCGCTCCCCTCGCTTCGCCCAAGCCCGGTGGGATCCCATTACCTGGCGCGGGCGCCCTGACTCCCGGAGGGGCTCGGGGGTGCCCATGTCCCGCGGGGCTCCCTCTGCCTTGGCTGCGGGCGCCCAACTCGGGCGGGCTCGGCCCATGGAGATGCGGTGGGGCAGGCGGCGGCGGCGGCGGCTGGAAGTGCGCGGCGGCGGCAGCTGTGGCGGTGGCGCCGCTGTTCATGGCGAGGAGGCTGAAGAACCCCGAGCGGGAGCGGGAGCGAGTCCGGGGGGGCTCCAGCGGCGGCGAAGGGCCCCCGCCGGGGCGCAGCGGCGGGGACGACGGCGAGAAAGCGAGCAGAAGGGGCGGCGAAGGGGCGCCGGAAGGAGCCGCCGCTCTGCCGCCGCCGCCGCCTGCCCTCCCCGCCGCCTCCCTGCCGGCCTGGCCGTGGCGGTGGGGCTCCTGGCGCTCCTCGGCGCCGCCGGCCCCTTGGTGGTGGTGGTGCTTGGCGGGGTCCCGGTCCCGGAGGCGGGCGGAAGCGGGGAAGGGGCGCGAGTCCGGCTGCTGCACCGCGCGGGGGTGCGAATTGGCTGCCACCGGCATTCGGCCTCGCTCAGGGGCCGGCGGGTCGCTCTGCCCAACCCAGCCTAGCCAGCCCCGCTGTAAAGAAGGGGGTGATGGTAAGAGCCCTTCCCCCGCGAGGAGTTGGGGCGGGCGGGCAGGCAGGCAGGCAGGCAAGCAGCGAAATATGGGGAAGTGCGGCGGCGGCGGTGGTAGAAAAAGAAGAGAGGGGGAGGAAACTTCCTTGAGAGGAGGAGCAGCAGCGCAAAGTACACCGGGGGTGGGTGGAAGGAAGAGAGGAAGAGAGAAAGAGACGGCACTCGCTTACCAGTCCAAGCCTCTGCCCCTTACTTGCTCCCTCCTGCCTGGCTAATGAAGGGGTTTACTGGGGGTTTAATTTGGTGCGATAGAAAAACAAAACGCTCGTATCCTCAGGAAAGGCAGCAGCTGCTACCGCACCGCCTCCCTGCGAAAGCAGCAGCAGCAGCACGCCGTGTTGGGGGGGGGGGGGGGGATGGAAAGCGAAGGGTATTCACGCAGTGAATTTCTAACCACACACACCCTTCCCAACCCCGAAGAACCGGCTATCAAATCCACACTCCGATTCCGATTCGGCTCCAGCGCCAGGCGATGAAGTGGAGGGGAATCCTAGTCCTGCTCGTGCGCTCACGCCAGTGTGCGCGCCTTGGCTGCAAGTAATAATATCCGAATCTGCCTTTGTGCGTATGTCTCTGTGTACGCTGTCGTCTTCTCCTTTCTGGGTGGCAGAAACCACATCCAGGCGCTGGTTCCGCCCCTGGCCTTTCCAGGGCAAAAGAAGTTTCTTGTCTCGGCTACTGCAGCTTCCTCTCGACAACCCCCAAATAAGAAACTCCCTTCGCTGGCGGAGGCTGCTTCCTTCCTCCCATCGCCACCTCTGGCTCGAGCCACGCTACGCCGTCGGCCTCCTCGTGAATTGCACAAGAGAGCTGGGGAGCGCGAGCCTCTCCGATTCCCCACCCCCTGCTCCAGCCCCTTGGGCTTGCCAGGAACAGGGAAGCGGGGAGTGGCGACTGTGCCGCCTTCTCGGAACAGCAACTCATGCAGAGACAGCCACGATCTCCCCCGCGAAAGGTTCCCAGATCGCTTGCCAGTAGAAACGGCAATCTGACGAACTTCCTTTTCTCCGCGCCTCTTTTCTATTGTTGCTGCGCCAGCATTGCATTCCCAGAAAAGCAGCGGCTTCAGTTTCGCAGGGTTTGCTAGATCCCAGAAGGGGCTGGCTTTGTTGTTATTCATCCAGCATCTTAAAGGTTCATGTAAGTCTTCTTCCCACTAGTCTAGGTGCTGTTTGTGATGACTGTTGGCTGGACAAGGGCGATCATTTAGCCTTGTAACTCTGCCAATGACCACTAAAGGCGCACACTGAACATCACCTGTCCTGACGTGAATCACCGTCGCCCCTTTGGTTAGCGCCCTTTGAATCATCTTTGAATGGGCAGGACGAGGAGTGAACCTAGGTAACCCCGGATCAGTAAGTGTGTAAATCGAAAGTGGGCGCCTTGGGACAGTCCGAATTTTTTATTATATTTGTATCCCATCTTTCTTCCTCCTTCCCATGTTATCCGACGCCTTTCGTCACACCTGCCCAATATAGCCAATGGTGGCGAATGATAGGAGTTGTAGGCTGAAACATCTGGAGGGCCACAAGTTGAACACTTCTATGTAAACGCAATCAGGGTGGCAATAATTAAACGCCTGGGTGGTGTTAAAAGAGCTACAAAACGGAATTATTCTTTTTGCCGTACTTTTAGGTTGGCGAGGAGGAGTCGGGGGCGGGGGGGCAGAGGAAGGTTTGCTGAGCCTTTTGCTGAATCGCCTTCTCCCTCTTTGAACATGTAATAGTGGCCTGATCCAAAATTATTTAAAAAACCTTGTTCTCAGATAAAAGGAACTTAGTGTCTTCTTTATGGTGGAATTATGTATAGGGAAGGATACGGCGTTTTTCTTTCCTAAGGCAAGCGGGGCAGCGGATTCGTGCGATGGATGTATACGCGTTGTCTATGCGTTCGATCCATCCACATGAAATTAGTGCATGGGAGGCTGGCGAAGAGCGGCCTCGGTTTTCCCTGGCCAATCCATTTCTGGGAGAGGAACTGCTTTCCCAGATGAGCTCTGACACATGGAATCCGAAGAGAGTTTCCACAGAGACAGGAAACCTCTCCTGGCGACGACGACCACGGGGGTGAATATGCAGAGATCAATAACACTGAAAAGCTTTGCCTTGGGCAGGCGCGATAAGCCAAACCCGGAATCATCCTCACTCGTCCCCCTCCCCTCGCGCTCCATGTTCCCCCCTCCCCTCCTTTGTTCCTTGAGATCCCAGAGCAAAGGGAGGGAAGCAGGCCACCGGTGCAACCAAAAGGTCTTATATCATCGTCAGCCCACTTTGACCTTCTTTACAGCTCCCTAAGCCAAACGATCCCTAAAGCAAGGTGAAGTGAATTCTAGCAAAGTGCATTCCAAGTAGAAAAGAGGGTTTCTTTTGGAGTAAAAATTTTTAAAGAGCAACAACACCCAACTTCCTTCCTCTTGTCTACCTGGCAATCAAATATATCCTGACTCTTTTTTTTTTTTAAAGCTCTCAGCAATGCCTGTGTGACGACTCTTTTCTGGGGCGAAGCCGACACGCAAGCGAGGGCTGGGAAGGAAGGCTCGGGTAGTGCTGGTGCTGCGATCGATTGGAACGGCTGGGCGATTGCACGAGGCTGATCGCTGAGCTCCCGGGCTGGCTCTCTCCATCCATCATGCGTTTTAGGACGGTGGAGGCAAGTGAGCTGGGGGTGGGGTGTGGAATAAAGAGCTGCCGGACAAAGCTGGGGACTGACTGATGGAGGCGGTGCGAGAAGAGAGCGAGCGAGCGAGCGAGCGAGCGAGGAGGAGGAGGAATCAATTATTTAGCAACGCACAGAGAGAGAGAGAGAGAGAGAGAGAGAGAGAGAGAGAGAGAGAGAGGGCAGCAGCAGCTTCAGTGATGGCAAGCTTTGTGGTCGCAGCCTGCCTGCGCTGCTGTCACGATCTTGTCTAACAACTTAAGAGGAACAATAACAGCGGCAACTCTTCCATGGGGTCCACTGTCTAATGCAAGCAAGAGCTCTTCTGCTCTCAAGGCTTGTTAGTAAGGGGGGTGGGGGAGCGTGCCTGCCTGCCTGCGTGCGCGCTCGAATCAGCTGGGGCATGATCATTAGCCGGCTGCGTCTCTCCAGACCAGCATTGCTAAACACGGTTTTTGTTTTTCATAAGGGACATTCGGGAGGCTTCGTGCACTCGAAGGAAAAGTAGGGAGGGGGCGGCGCAGGAAGAATCAGATATGTTGCGCGAAGGCTGTCATGATTTGGACAACCCTTTTTAAAAAGAAAAAAAAAAGCGAGGAACATCTGGCAACCATGCTGCAGATTCACAGGAAACTGTCAGCGACAGCAAGCGCAGGAGAAAAAAAAGGGGGGCGATACATCCTGAGTATTATTTTTAAGCCTTGATAACACGCGCGCCGGCGCGCGCACCCTCTCTCTCTCTCTCTCTCTCTCTCTCTCTCTCTCTCTCTCTCTCTCTCACACACACACACACACACACACACACACACACACACACACACACACACTAATGATGTGCCCTTCATTACACAAGCACCGGTGTCTGGAGCCGTGGCATAACGGAGAGTTTGGTGGGCTATGATTCTGGGAGATCCAGGCACAAATTGAAAGGGGAAATAATTGGGACGGCTAACTAAATCAGGCTACAGTCATGTGTACATTTATTTACCTGTCAGTAATAATCCCAGGGAACCAAGTGAGGCTTGGTCAGGTCTGAATAAACTTGGATAGGATTTTGGTTGTATACAGATGTGCTTAGGAGTAGTCCTGCGTGCCTGGTTCAAATTCCTCAGCAGTCATGAAGTTCATGACTTGGAACTGGAATGGAATTGGAATTGGAACTGTAAAGATGCAACAGACTTGGGAGGAAGCCACACTGAAGTCGAGGAGACTTGCACTGCTGCCCATATTTTCCTGGAGAGTCCTCTTCCTTCTTTATTTATTTCATTTTTATACCACCCAATAGCTGAGGCCCTCTAGTTGCTCAACAAAAGTTAGAATTAAACAAAAATTTTAAAGACGCAGGCACAACAATGAATTTAAAAGAACAAAACCACAGAAACATAGCAGAGGTGCAGAATAAAATGGAATATATAAAAACAAAGTTAAACTGTTAAAATGCTGGGGAAATAAAAAGGTCTTTCCGTGGCCCCAAAGGAAAGCAAAGTATGTGTCAGGCGCACCGCTTTGGGAAGCTCATTCCAAAACCAAGATGCCGCAACTGAAAAGGCCCTTCTCCTGTAGCCACCCACCTCCTTTGCTTTGGAAGGAGCTCCCAGAGAAGGACCCAAAAGATGACCTCAGGATCTGGAAAGGTACATATGGAGGGGGAGGCAAGCATTCAGATAACCTGGCCCCAAGCTGTTATTTAGTCTTGCTCTTCCCTGCATCAGGACTTTTGTGAAAAACAGGTTAGTATAAAACAAAAGGATTAAAAATTGCAATGGTATAATTCAATTATTTGTATGATCATTTGAGTATAGTGATATTAATTGCTTCTCAGTAGAGAAGGGAGTAGGGGTAAGAACCAAAGAGCAGAGCTTGAAATCTGATCTATTTTTATTTTCCAAAGAAATTAAGCTAGTTTAATTGGTTAGTTTATACTAGTTTTCAGACACTGTTACGACTGTCAGGCAAATT